CCAAAAATTCTACCAAGGAACTTCTACAACTCATAAATACTTTCAGTAATGTAGCAGGATACAAAATTTACTCAAAAAAAAAATTAGTAGCCCTCCTATACAGACGATAAATGGGCTGAGAAAGAAATCAGAGAAACATCACCCTTCACAATAGCCACAAATAGCATAAAATATCTCCCAGTAACTCTATCCAAACAAGTGGAAGACTTGTATGACAAGAACTTTAAATCTTTGAAGAAAGAAATTGAAGAAGACACCATGCTCTTGGGCAGGTAGAATTAACATAGTAAAAATGGCAATCTTACCAAAAGCAACCTACAGTTTCAATGCAATGCCCAGCAAAATCCCAGCAAAATTCTTCACAGACCTCAAAAGAACCATACTCAGCTTCATATGGAAAAGCAAAAAATCCTGGATGACCAAAACAATCCTGTACATTAAAAGAACCTCTGAAGGCGTTACAATCCCTGACTTCAAACTCTACTACAGAGCTACAGTACTGAAAACAGCCTGGTATTGGCATAAAAATAGACAGGAGGACCAATGGAACCAAATCGAAGACCCAGATATTAATCACTTTCAAACACCTGATTTTTGACAAAGAAGCAAAAAGTATCAAATGGAAAAAAGAAAGCATACTTAACAAGTGGTGCTGGCATAACTGAGTATCAACATGTAGAAGAATGAAAATAGACCCATATCTATCACCATGCACAAAACTCAAGTCCAAATGGATTAAAGACCTCAACATACAGCCAGCCACACTGAACCTCATAGAAGAGTAAGTGGGAAGTATACTTGAACACATTGGCACAGGAGACCACTTCCTAAATACAACCCCAGTAGCACAGTCATTGAGAGAAACAATTAATAAATGGGACCTCCTGAAACTGAAAAGCTTCTGTAAAGCAAAGGACATGGTCAACAAGACAAAACGACAGCCTACAGAATGGGAAAAGATCTTCACTAACCCCACATCGAACAGAGGTCTGATCTCCAAAATATACAAAGAACTCAAGAAACTGGTCATCAAAAGAACAAATAGTCCAATAAAAAAAAATGGAGTACAGACCTAAACAGAGAACTCTCAAAAGAGGAATCTAAAATGGCTGAAAGACACTTAAGGAAATGCTTAACATCCTTAGTCACCAGAGAAATACAAATCAAAACAATTCTGATATTCCATCTTATACCTGGAAGAATGGCCAAGATCAAAAACACTGATGAAAACTTATGCTGGAGAGGTTGTGAGGTAAAGGTAACACTCCTTGGTGGACCAGAGCCAAGAACACAAAACATAAAGAATTTAAAAAGCATTTGAAAAGCATCATGAAAGCACATTCGAATTCAGGGTTTTCAATTAGGAATGGATCACCTGAAAGCATTTACATGCCCCCACAGCCCCTCCCAATTCTGCTTTGTCAAGTCTAAGACTTTCATTTTTGCTTGTTAATTTGCAACCGATCATTCTGATAGAAAGACTAAAGAGAAGCCGGGTGGTGGTGGCACAAGCCTTTAATCCCAGCACTCGGGAGGCAGAGGCAGGTGGATTTCTGTGAGTTCGAGGCCAGCCTGGTGTACAAGAGCTAGTTCCAGGGCAGGCTCCAAAGCCACAGAGAAACCCTGTCTCGAAAAACCAAAAAGGAAAGAAAGAAAAAGAAAAAAGAAAGCCTAAAGAGGACTATAGGCCATTCCTTTAATACAGTGGCAAAATTCTATGTGGAACAGAAATTCTAATTAGTCTAATTTCTACAACAATTCTCAAACTGACATTCTTTAAATACTAGTCTAAGGAAAGCTTTGAAACAAACAAATCTCATAACGAAGTGCTGGAGAGATGGTTCAATGGGTACAGTACTAGTTGTGTAAGTAAGAACCTGAATTCAATCCCTACACCTATGTAAAAAAGCCAGATGCAGAGCTAGGGCAGTGGAAACAAGAGGATCTCTGGGACTTGCTGGCAAGTCAGTCTTGTGAAATCAAAGAACTCCAGGTTCAGTGAGAGACACTGTCTCCAAAAAAAAAAAAAAAAAGATGGAGAGCAATTGAGAAAGATACCTAATGCTGACCTCTGGTCTCTACATGTGCACATATGTGATTATATATGCTTACATGTACACACACATAGTCATGGAATACATAGCTAAGAAGTCTTGTTCAGTTTACCAAATACTTCCTAATTTTATTAATTTAGTCATTTCTTTTATTTTTATCTATTAGTTTATTATTGTTATGATGTGAATGTAACTCATCCAAAATTCAGGTGCTGACTTACAATGACAATAGTAAGAGCATCACCTTGAGGAGGGGATGAGGCCTGGGAGCTCCTCTTTCAAGTGGGATTAAGGGCTTTCAAAGGGGTTCCACATAGCATCTGGCTCTCTCACCCTTCTGTCTTCTACCTTGTGAGAACAGCAGAGAGGATAAAAGGTGCCATCCTGCAAACAGGGCAGCCTCACAAGAAAAGCAAACCTGTCACACTGCCTTGATCCTAACATCCAGAGCTATAAGCAATAAAACTCATGTTCTTTATAAATAGTCAGTCAAAGTTATTTTATTTTAACTGCATAACCAGACTCATATACCTGCTTGTATGTTTAAGATATGGTCTCTCTCTATATATAGCCTTGGCTATTCTGGAACTAAGAACACCAGGCTAGCTTGGAACTCAAGATCTACCTGCCTCTGCCTCCAGAGTGCTGATAATTAAAGGTGTGCACCACCACAACTAGCTATTTATTTCATTTTTTAACCTAATGCCTATTAACAGACCATCGACTTTCATAAACAATGCCCTAAAGATAGATGTTCTATGACATTATCCTATTGAATATGTACAAAAATCACAATAGGCTCCATAACACACTTAAAAGCATTTCCAAAGGGAGAACAGATTTACCAATATTTAACGACAAGATTGTACCCAGATCCATCTTCAGATTTTCCATAGCTGAAGGCGGTAAATCATCTTTTCAGAAAATATCAAATAGGGGTCAGCAGAGGGATCCTGATTTCTCTAGCTTAGCTCCAAAAAGAAATATACCATTGTTAAAACAATGTCTTTTTTTTTTAACAAAGACTAATAAAAAATTGAGGCAATTATTACACCTAAAAAGTGTTACTTTTCTTACCAAGTCTCTAATGTCAACTGACAACAAAAGCAGAACTGTCAGAAATGAAGTGACAGAAGTCTGAAGACATCTCTGCTAAGAGTCTTTCTTCCCCACTCTAGAGTCTGAAGACATCTCTGCTAAGAGTCTTTCTTCCCCACTCTAGAGTCTGAAGACATCTCTGCTAAGAGTCTTTCTTCCCCACTCTAGAGTCTGAAGACATCTCTGCTAAGAGTCTTTCTTCCCCACTCTAGAGTCTGAAGACAGTTCGGAGTACAGGATCTCCCCTGTAATCACCTCTCTAAGAAAACTGGACTCAAATTATTTGTATTAGGAATAGTCTACTTGTAACCTTGAAGATTTCCTGAGAGTGAGCTTCTAGCATGCATCTGTGCACCCACCTCCTGGCCCTCAAGAAATGGTTTTGCTGGTATCTGCCATTTCTAGAATGTACTGGTATTCCAAGTCTCTCTTCTCAAGGATGTGCCTTTCAGGGTAAGAATATAATCACTTTGCATTTTGCAAAACTGATGACTCCCTGCTCCGATCTGTTTCTGACAGTTTCAGTTACTTAAAGCTGACTTTTACAAAATGTTTATGTGTTTTTGTTTACTATTTAGTGGCCATGATCATCTCCTCATAAGCTGAAGGCCAGAAAAAAAGCTGCCACAGTGGAATCATCTGAAGTCAAATAATTCTATACTACCAAGACCAACCAAATGACCATTGTATCTGATACAATTTTGAGAAGAAAAATAAAAAGAACTGTCATAACTAAGAGGGAGAAGAGAGCCTAAACATGTTTTAATGAGACAGAAACACAAGAGATACACACACACACACACTAAAGCTTCCTGGGAAGAGCCATATTTCAAGTGGGACAAACTTTTTAAGTTAACTATTTGATGGAATCTTGCTCAGGAGGCCAAGGTCAGGCAGAACTGCTCTCTGGGAAGGAGGAGAGTGCTTCCCTGTATGGCAGCACAGTGAAGACAAACAGGTCAGGAATAGGGAGGTTTTATAAAGGAAAAAGCTTCAGTAGTGGAATGAACTACACCTCAAGACCTTGGGAAAAACTGCTCAGGAGCCTTGGACTAAGTATGTAAACTGTAAGACTAGAACTAAAGTCATGAAGAAAGCATCTAAGCCAAGTTCCCCGAGACCAGCAGTTCTCAACCTGTGGGTCTTGATCTCTTTGGATCACAAATTAAATATTTACTTATAGCTGGGTGGTGGCGGCAGCACATACCTTTAATCCCAGCACTCGGGAGGCAGAGGCAGGTGAATCTTCGAGGCCAGCCTGGTCTACAAGTGAGTTCCAGGACAGCCAGGACTGTCACACAGAGAAACCCTGTGTCAAAAAAATATTTTTTTTTAATATTTACATTACATTTGATAACAGTAACAAAATTGAAGTTATGAAGTAGCAATGAAAAAATTTTATGGTTGGGGGGTCACCACAACATGAAGAACTGTGTAATAAAGGGACGCTGTAAACATTAGGAAAGTTGAGACCACTGCACTAGACCTTTTAGAATAAGAAAAGTCCCCTCCCAGTAACTTAGAATATAGAAAAAAGCAAGTGAACCACTCAAAATCCAGGGGATAGAACAATAATGAAGTTACAGCTCTTACAAGTACTTGATGGCTATTCTTTCATAGGCTCTTCAATCTGGCCTGAGGTATTAATTCGCCATGGAAGTGCCAGAACCTGACTTAAGCTTAGATTTTTCTTTCCTGAAGTCCATACTGATGCTTGTTTTACTTTTCTTTTAGTCTCACTATGTCAACATTGACTGGCCTAGACCATATAATGCAGACCAGGCTGGCCTTGAACAAGACCTGCCTTTGCCTCCCAAGTACAAGAATTAAAAGCATGCACCACCATACCTGGCTTGTTTTGTTTTTTTGGACAGGGTCCTGTTAAGTTGTCCAGGTTGGCCGAAAACTTGCCATGCTCCTGCCTCAGCCTCCTGGGCATCTGGAATTAATTGCATGTTATCACCTCACCTGATAAAACCCATGCTCTTAATTACTACACATTTAATTTCAGAAAAGCTATGAAAACCAACTGATTTTTTTCAAATAGTGCAAATAGCCAGGGAATAGGAGCTGAAGAAAAAAAAATGCTATTTGGTATGAGAATTGAGGTAGTTGGAAGGAACACTATTACCTATCAGTATGTTTAAACTACAATACACTCTACCCCTTAACATTCAATCTGGTGATTGCTAATACTTTCAGACTACCTATAATCTCTTTTTTAAAAACATTTTTAATAATTTGTTTATTCTTATTTTATGTACATTGGTGTTTTGTTTACATGTGTATCTGTATGAAGGTATTATATCCCCTAGAACTGAAGTTACAGACAATTGAGAGCTGCCATGTGGGTGCTGAGAATTAAACCCAGGTTCTCTGGAAGAGCAGCCAGCGCTCTTAACTGTGAGCCACCTTGCCAGCCCCCACCTAAAATCTCTTATAGGCAACTTTAACATCCCAAAAGCTTTAAAAAATTTAGCTCCCCCCTCCCCCTGTATTTCATGTCAGAACTTAGCTGGTAGTAAAACTTGACCTCAACTGATACGAGGCCTTCATTTACTCACCTGGCACAAACACTCTTGTTTGCTTAGAAGTATGAACATGTCTAACAGTGATGCCCTAGAGCATCAGAGTATTATATACCACAAAGAGCACATCTTTCTAGACTGAGTCTCATCTGGCCTTACAGACTTTAGAGCCTCTACAGATTCACCTTCCAAAGGATCTCATTTCTGAGAGTTGCTACATTTCTGAGGTACTCTACAGTCTTCAGGAACTCATAAACCAGAAATATTTTGAAATATCTTTAGCAAAACAGGTTTACAAATTTTTTAAATTGCAAAATAAAAAAATCTTATTGATGTCATTTTATAATAGCACTGAAAAACGTAGGGAAGGCTCAATTTAATGCAAAAGACAATTTGATAAACCATTTGAATTTGGTCTTATGAAAAACACAATATGTCCTCATTTTTCTTATTCTACAGGTTGGTGAAAATTCACAAGAGACTAGCACCATCTAACCCAAGATTTAACATCAAGATGTTAATATAAAATTTCTTTAGGTCACCAGGTTGAAGAGATGGCTTTGTCAGCAAAGTTCTCAAGTATGAGGACCTGAGTTTGAGCCCCAGAACTCATGTAAAATGCTAGTAACCTAAGCACTGGGGAGACAGAAACAGGAAGATCCAGCTAGTCTAGTGGAATCAGTGAGTCCACGTATAGTGAGTGTGACTTGTCTCAAAATGTAAAGTGCATGACTGAAATTCAGGCCAGCATGATCTCCACAGAAAGTTCCAGGACAGCCAGGGCTCCAGAAAGAGACTATGTAAACAATGAGCAAACAAACAAGGAAATAAAGTGAGAGCGAGGAAGACATCAACACTGACCTCTGGTCGACAAACACATACAATTATTGAAGTTTCTAAAAATGTAGTCTCTGCGGCTCCACCTTAAGAGATTACAACTCAGATACTTTGGAGACAGCCCCGGGAAATCAATACTGATTTTTAGAAAATGCCCGTGTTTTGTTTTGGTTTTTTTCCCTGATGTGCTGCTAGACTTCGGAATCATGGCTAGCCTAAAATCTAATTCTCCCTTCCCTTTCCTCACCCAAACTTCTCTCTGGGATGAGGGAACAGAATGAGCGTGAGCTCTCTCAGGGAAGCACCAGGCCATTGTGCACAGCAGTTACTTCTCCAAACAGTCCATGTTGACCTCCGTGCTGACTGGCTGCTCAATATGAAAAGGGAGACCGAGAGAAGAAAAGTAGACATAGAGACTGACAAGCCAGAAAAACTCACTGGAGCAAAACTCCTCTATACAGAGGTCCCCTTCTCACCCAAACATCCTGCGTGTGATGCCTCAGTTCAGAAAGCACCATCTTCTCTGGCAAACAAGAATCTAAAATTTATCTGTTGCTGGTGTGCTGGCACATACCTGCAATCCTAGCACAAATTGTCCACACAGAGTTCCAAGTGAGCCTGGGCTACATAAGACTATCTCAAAACAAACACGGCACAAACAAAAACTTAAACATGTATACAATACTTATTATCTAAATATAACACACTTAAGTAGTGTGCATGCATGTGCACTCACACACTTTCCTTAATCAATGTCTCCAGTTTTCAGGTTCCTTGTCAGACCTATGACTTTGGCTTCATTTTTCATTTTTTCTTTTCAAAAACATTCATTTATTTATTTTTATGTGTTCATGTTATGTCTTTATGTATGTCTGTGTACAATGTGTAAGGCTGATGCCAATAGAGGACAGAAGACAGCATTAGATACCCTGAAATTGAAGTTACTGATATTTGTGAGACACAGTGTGAGGGCTAGGAATTGAACCCAGGTCCTCTGAAACGCACCCAGTGCTCTTAAACACTGAGCCATCACTCCAGTTCCATTTTTAGTTTCAAAGGGATTTCAGGATTTACTGTTACTACTCAGTGCAATAACAAACCACTTAAAATAATACAGAAAGTGGGCTCTACCGCTGATCTGTACTCAGACCTCTATTGTATTTCTAGAATGAATTCTAGATAGACAAAACCTTGAATCAGCATTTCAAGGTGACTAGCAAGTACAGGAGGAACAGATATGAAAAGATGATTAAGTGTCCTGAGTATGCCTGGTATATTGAAAAAAATCGCAATAAAAATAAAAAGTAAACAATGAAAAATTACTCAAGGAAAAAAAAAAAACAACCCTGCAAATGGCTCAGCCAGAGAGCATGGCACAAATGAATTAACCATGACTGCAGAAACTTACAACAGATACAAGTTTTAGGGGGAGAATGTAAAACTGTCCAGCTGGAGTTGAGGTGTCTATGACAATTTATTAACACAGGTATTAAATTCTGCAGTCTGTAACAGTGACATTGTTTAGTCACTACCTAGGCCTCTCCTACACATCACACACTATCTAAGTGCTGAAAATATAATGAAACACACCCTCATAGAGCTCACAGACCAGCAAAAAGACAGATGAACAACTGATTTACCATGTAAAGTGAAGTAAAACAGAAATAAAATGCAATCTAAATTAAATTAAAGGCACAATTAGTAACATGCAGATTGCTGAGAGGTGCTCTTTGAGCACACAGAGGCACCATACGGACAAGAATAGGTTCTACTTTACTTGAACTGGTATTTTCAATTAAAATTTTAAAGTACAGAAACAGTACATACTGTTGTTATAAAAATTGGAAAGCACAAAAAATTAGGATAGACAAAATAATGAGAGCTTACAGAGCACTACATAGAGCCACCTTCCTCAGACAGTAATTATTTTATACTTGCTATGTGTATACATAGAGATATATGTACTTTAAAAATAGAAATAGTTAATCTTTGGTGTTGTTCAGTCATTTTGATGAGATACATAAACATCTCTTAAGTGTACACAAGCTTTGCCCAAAGAAATCTTGCTTCATGTTTCTGTATATAATAAGAATTAGGAATGTGGCTAACTTTTAGCTGAGTGAACACGTAACCAGTTGGGGATCTAATCTGAACTATTTCAGAGGCTTTGATCAAGGGTGTATGAGCATGAACAGGGCGTGCGGCTGTTTGTAATAGTACAATGTTCCCCACCAAAGGGAAATGGCTATGTAAACTGTGGTATTCTGTAAAGTAGCAGAGAAGAAAGATGGTCTATGTGCCAAAGAAGAAAAGATTGGAAGAAGTGTGTGTGGGGGGGATTAACATAACACCTTCTCGGGGAAGCCTGTAATCCCACTGCCCCTACCTCCCGAAACTGTCCCCACCTCCCTTTCAGGAGGAGTTGAGAAGTCCCCAGATCAGATACCTGTGCAACAGTTGCCATGGACTTGACCAGGGGAGGGAAATGGGAGGCGGTGGCAGGGAGGAGGCAGAAATCTTTAATAAATAATTAATAATAAATAAATAAAATCTTAAAAAAAGGAAATAAAAATCCTTCTTAAAGTGATAACATGGAATTTTTCCAGAAAACAAACAAACAAACAAAAAAACCAGTTACCATGTATCAGGTTCTCAATCAAGCATCAAAGGCAGAAGGATGGAACTGTGGAACCTGCTATCATAGAGCTCACAATGTAGTAAGGAAGAAAGCCATATGAACAAGTAGTTCTACCACAATACAACTAGATGCAGCACCAGGAAGAAGATATAGTGAATATTTGACACATGTCAACCATTTTGCTAGATGCTTTATCTTACAGGATCTAATATGTAAAATAGTGTTTAAAGAGAAGCCCACAAAGTCCTAGGACCCTCAGTTATCCTCTGAAGAAAAGTAACTGTATCCAGAATCCTATTCAAATATACTTGTTTGTGAGACAAAGAATACACGAAACCAACCCCTTTTCTTTGTCTACTAGGGACCAGACCAGGACTCAGCGCCTCAGCTAAAGATGATATACAGGTTAAACCTGGAAATCAGGAACCAAGAACCTGGCTTAACTCAAAATTCTGCCCAATAGGACTCTTCCATTTTAGAAGATGAAAGATCAGGTAGTCTCCTTTGGAAAACAAAAATGTTAGGGGACAAGCATGCGAAGGTGGGTATCCAGGACTAAAATCGTATCTTAGATATGGCCAAGTTGCTGCTCTAGATCAGTGATTCTCAATCTGTGGGCCACAACCCCTTTGGAGGTCAAATGACTCTTTCATAGAGGTCACATATTGGATATCCTGCAAATCAGATATTTCATTACGATTCATAACAGTAGCAATGTTTCAATTTTGAGGTAACAACAAAAATAATTTTATGGTTAGGAATCACAACAACACAAAGAACTGTGTTTAGGGTCATAGTGTTAGGAAAGTTGAGAACCACTATCCTATATAGTTTTGAAAGCACTATGGTCTAGACAATATGGATGCTGAAATGATCTCCCATTCTCTTTTATACTCGTCCCCCATCACCAAAAGTAACATGTGCATGCTCTCCCTTGAAATGTAAAAGTGTCTACACATCATCAATCTTGAAATTAGGACACAGGTTCAAAAGTCCAAGTTGTACCACAGCTGTTCACTTAGTAGATGGCAGATGCAGATTTCAAAGAACAGGTCAGCACTATATCTCATAAATGAGGCAATGACTTAGTGAAGTACTTGTCTTAGAAACATGGGGACCTGATATTGGTCCCCAGAACCCACCTAAAAAAGGCAAGCATGGTGGTGTGAGTTTGTAATACCAGCCCTGCCCAGGCAGTTGGGCAGATCCCGGAACCATGCTGGCCAGTCTACCTTAATCTAGCTGCTGAGTTTCAGACCAGAGAGAGATCCTATACTTCTCCACACAAAAAAGCTGGCCAGGTGCTAAGGAATGTCTGAGGTTGACCTCTGGTCTTCATTTTCACAGGCTCACATACATACTCCCCTCGCCCCTCAAGTTACTGGAGAAAGGCTCAAAAATATAAAAGAATAGAAGCGGTCTGGAAGTCTTCTTGGGCTCTGAAGCAGGAAGGAATACACTTAGTGTCAACTCAGATGAGAACAATTTCTAATCTCAACCTACACAAGCCTTAGCTGTTTATCTTTCTAACTCAAATACAAGACCCAGAGGGCAGGACCTTAATCTATAGCTCATTTGCTATCAAGTAGAGTACAGCTTATAGTAAGTGCTTAATAAATATTTGTTGACTGAATAAGTGAGCAGATTTCCCAATACTCCAAAGGATCGCTCTAAATAGATTTGGAGGGAGGGAATACCATGAAATGAGGACTAGGGATTATTCACAAGTACAATTCTATGTGCAAATCTTTTTATTTGCTAAAATTTGCATGTAACCCCTAAACTAACACTGGTGGTGCCTTTGAAGTCATTCACAGTGTGATGATTAATTACCACTGTTATCTTTACTAGATTTAGACTCACCATGGAAATATGAAAGCCTGAATGTGAGCTGCAGCATTCCAAACTAGGTAAGAAAAAACAAGTGAGCTGAGCATTCACCTCTGCTTACTGGCTATGGACACAATGGGACCAGCTCCTTCCAGCTCCAGCGGCTATGATAGACTGTACCCCTTAATCTGTAAGCCAGAACAAATTCTTCTTTAAGGTGTTTTTCTCACAAAAAAAAAATGACATCATACACATGGATATGTAGATAGCAGCACATGTCTACTGTTCTTTGTGCTTGTCCCAAATTAAGGTAAGTAAGGCAAGACTGAACCTTCTTGGTTTGAACTCACACAGAGATGGCCAAAGAACAGAGGCAGGAAAGGGTAGTTTTGTGCTGTCAACTCTGCCTTTGGGGTTAAATGGACAGAGTTTGAGTTTTAACTCTGGCACCTGTTAGTGGGCAAATCACACCTCTGAAAATCACTTCCTGTTGTGCAAAATACAGGAAACAAAAATCTATCAGGATAAATGGTTTTCAGGATTTATGATTATAATCTACATGGGCCAGGTAGGTTAAGGAAATGCACTTCAGGAGTCTAGAGCAATGAAAGATGAGGCTGGAACACAGAGGAACAGGGCGTCTCTACCCTGAACTACAAGACCCTCTGTGCATTTAATCCTGGCTTATAGGTCTCTAATAAGTCTATGATCAAGGTCAGATCTCTGGGAATTGGAAGCAAAAGCTACCATTTAAATGTTGAAAAAAGCACTAGCTGGGCAGTGGTGGCGCACGCCTTTAATCCCAGCCCTCGGGAGGAAGAGGCAGGTGGATCTCTGTGAGTTCGAGGCCAGCCTGGTCTACAAGAGCTAGTTCCAGGACAGGAACCAAAAAGCTACAGAGAAACCCTGTCTCGAAAATCAAAAAAAAAAAAAAAAAAAAAAAGAAAAAAAAAGAAAGAAAAAAGAAAAGAAAAGAAAAAAGCAAGCACTAGGACAGATTTATCCAAAGACATGATACCTACATTTGGTTTTCCACTGCAGACACAATATTGTATACCAGTGACCAACTCTGAGACCTGCAGTTTGCCCATGGCTTTGACAACCGCTATAACTGACATGAATTACACCAGTTTTAAGATTCTGTCTTTCCAGAGTGATTGATTCACTAATAATGCTCTAACATATGGCCCATGAAACAATGTTGTCACCTCAGAGTAGACTGCTTTTAATTCACTCGAACAGGCTTACTTCTTTCTCTATTAAGACTAAAATCTTACCACAGCAAAACACAGGAAACTATACTGTTATGTGCTATGAGCCAGGTAAGAAAAACAGTAAAAGCTTTTGAACTTCAAAACACAGTGAATCCGATGCTAAACTTCCAGCTTACTGTTCTCTTTTGAGAACCAAAAAAAAAAAAAAAAAAAAAAACAACCCTCCAGATATTGTCATGAAAACGCCATGAGAACAGTGCAGATTTGTATGACGTATTCATATTTTCCCTTCCTCTCTACCCAAGGTACCACTCAATTTCCTCCAGCTCCCAAAATAAAATCCCCACCGACCAGTATTTTTCAACTTCTAAAACTCAGTCAAGATTACAAGTGATGAGCTAATTTCTTCCCAGTAAATGTCCGGCATCATTTTATCTGGGTATGAGACCATGTAAAAGATCATCTAGAAACATATGGCTGGAACTGCTACTTCTGCTACCGGACGCCAAACATTGCCATACTATGAAGGTGCAAACAGATTCTCTGTAAAGCGACCATGCTGAATGAAGGCTGTTTCTGAGCTGCTGTAATTCACTCAGAGGTTGTGTGTGATCATCACATGTCCTTCATCTTCTGGTCGTCTGGCATGACCAGGCCCTTCCTTACAGAGTAAACTCATGCTTTGGCTAGCTCTGTCAAAGACAATCCCGTTCCATCCACGTAACAGATTTCAAATTGGTTGCGGTTGGGAAGCCTTTCCCCCTGCATTTTCAGCTGTGCTGAGCAAAAGCACTTTCTGGGGACAAAGATTCTAGAAGAGGAGAGTGATCAAACGGCACGTAAAGGGTGGGAGGCAGAGAGTTTAAGCAAGCCCATTCCGGTTCCGAACCTTGCAGAGCCTGTGTTCAGCGTCGTCATCTGCCTCTCTCGCCTTCACCCTTTCAGGTGCCTACAAGAAGCAAAGTGAGAGATGCTAGTTCCCGGGGAAAAAGAGGCTGAAATCCCGAGGTCGAGGGGAACAGGCGCGGAAGGCAGCGGAGCAGAGGAGCGGCCGGAGTTGGCGGGCCATAGCAAAGATGGTGAAAGAGGATGAGGTGGGAGAAGCTGGCCGGCAAGCGCCAGAGCGTCCGACGGCCTGGGCCCGGGCCGCGCCGGGAAAGGGGCTTTGCGCGTTCTCGGACAGCCCGCGAGGAGAGGGCGAGGGGCCTCGCGCGCTCCCGAGAGGCCCAAACACAGCGGGGCTGTGCGTGTCCCCGGGCGGCCTGAAGTCCAGTCCCGACGCCCGAACCCACCTGGCCGCGCGGACAACGCCGCCCCGAGGTCCGCACCACAGCACAGCGCCGCCTCCTCAGAGCGCGAGCCGCGGCGCACAAACGCTCGAGGTCCCCCCCCCCCCACCCGGGCCGCACACACGCGTCTCACCCCGCCCCCTGGCACCAGTCATTGGCTGCCGGACACCGCCCCGTCCACCTATTGGACATTAGAGAATGCCGCTCACTTACCTGGTTTTGATTGGTCTAAATGTGAAACAATGCCCTCCCACCTCTTTCACTGGTTCCAGCTGGTGATTGGTTTTAATATCTGTCCATTCGCTCCGCCCTCGCTGGAGATTCCCAGCTGTGATTGGTTGTGGAAAGCTCTGGTCACGCCTAGATTTCAGCCCTAGGATGAATCATACCCCCCCCCCCCCCCCCCACCCCCCCCCCCCCCCCCCCCCCCCGCCCCCAGGAGCCCGAATGCAGCGACTCCCGGTTTGTTTACAATGACTTCGGCTCCAGCTTCATCCATTGGCTAAGAAGGCAGGCTTTCTCGCTTGTCTGGTAACCGAGGAAGAGGGAGGTGGGTATCTCAGGTTTCCTCTGCTGTCTAGCTGCAGCTGAGTTTTAAGAGCTATAGAGCAGGGATTTGACTCGGTGTTAGGTCCCGAGGTTAAACAGGTGAGACTACTGGGAAGAACGGAGAGTGTGGCGTCCGCGATTTTAGAAACAAACTTGATTTCTTCAGTCCCTGGAGACTGAGGCAGGAGGATCAAAAATTAATGGGCCAGCCTGAGATATATGAGATATATTGTGCGACTAAGTCTCAGAAAAAACAAGGGAATCCACCTACAAAGAAAACCTGGAGTTACGTTCATAAAAAGAAAATAGAATATTGGTGGCTGGAGTGGTGGATCGGCAGTTAAGAGCATCTGTTCTTGCATAAGGAATGGATTCAGTTTCCTGCATCCACTTGGTGACCTTTAATTCCAAACCCAGGGATTCTTCGCCCTCTTCTGGCCACCATAGGTATTGCATGCACATGGTACACATACAGGTAAAATACACATGCACATAAATTTTTATTAAAGCGAAATTTAAAAAAATGGAACTCTGTATACAACTTTTCATATATTTTTAAACCTTCATAAGTTTTTAAAAGTGGAACTCTTCTTACATTCTCCTACCTACTAATGATAATTAAAACCACAACACAAAGTATAGGCTTAGTAAAGGAGTAAAGATAATGAAGATAATTGGATAAATTCATTGTCTAACATTAACTTTTCCCTCATCCCTTCTCAGGGAATCTCTTCCCCTGATTGGTCCCTCTAGATACTCCGGGTCTATCACCCATCTTTTTTCTCACCTTTGGAGAACCTAATCTACTTCTAAGACAGGGATTTTTTTTAAATGTACACATTTATTTGATTATTTATGTATTTTTTAATCTGTGTGGGTATGTGTGGAGGTCTGTAGGTGAGTTTTCCCATCCTGGAAGCTGCTTCCAAATTACCGCACAGAGGTTTATATTAATTGCAAATGCTCAGCCCTTAGCTCACACTTATTACTAAATAGCTCTTACATATTAAGTTAACCCATATTCCTTACTTATGCTCTGCCATGTGGAAGTACCTTTATTAACATGGCATGTTCATCTCTTGCTCCCTCTGCATCTGGCTGGTGATTCTTCACTTTGCCCTTCTTCATTTCAGCATTCTTGGTTTCTGTTCGACCTATACTTCCTACTTGGCTGCCAACCTGTCAGCTTTTTATTAACCAATGAGAGTAATACCTTTTCACAGCATACAGAATTATTTCACAACATTTCCCCCTTTTGTCTAATTTTAAAAAAGGTTTTAAATTTTTTGTTTGTTTTTTCAAGACAGTGTTTCTTTGTAGCATGGTAGCCTGTTCTGGAACTTGCTCTGTATACCAGGCTGTCCTGGAACTCACACAGATCTGTCTGTCTTTCCCTCCTGAGTGCTGGATTTAAGCACCACTGCTTGGCCGAAGGTTTTAACTTTAAGATAATAAAACTATATATAACAAAACAGTTATTATATAAGAATTGCAGTTATAGTATCTAGTTTATTTGTATCTGGAAAAATTAAAGAAAATATTCTATCATCTGTCTTATCTTTGTGAGTCCAAAGTTTTATAACTAATTTAATTTTTATCATAATGAAGGAAAACTGTGGGCCTTTAACCTCTTCAAGATCTGCTGCTGCATATGACATTTAAAATGTTTTAAGTTTTGTGCAGTGAACCATGACCATGCCTAACAGCAACCTTGAAGTCTCCATAAGGAGGATGGGGCCCCACAACAACAATTCCACCAGAACTATGGTAATGCCACTAAGTCAACAAATACCACCAAAAGATCAGCTTTGGACAGCAAACTGCTCAGAAAATTTTCAATGTGGCTAGCTGAGATGGTCCAGCATCACAGTCTACTCTAGCCAGGACTTGAGATAACTCCTGCACTTTCCCATTACACAGAGACTGGACAACAAATAATATAGCTAGCTCTCTCAGGACTCGACAATTATCTCAATTTTTTAGGATCTTTTTAAAGATGCCATCACCCCCAGACAGCAGGACATAATTTTAAGAACATGACACCCACATTCCCAAGAGGTGGAGTGGGCATTTTTGGGGTAGTTTAGTGGGTTGTGAATATTTGTCATCATTTAGGGAGGTTGGTTACAAGTTGTCATTGGTAATGGTCAGGAAAAAAAGCTGAACAAAGGAGACTAAATTCAGGGATCTTGTTCTGAAAAGAAATAGGAGGGATATAGCAATGATAGGATGAAAGGGTAGATTATTGAATTTGCTTTTAAGCTAGAAAAGCAACTGCTAATCTCAAATAGTTTACATTGGTGTGGATTTCTGTATAATGATACCAATTTGAGGTTATTTTTGTTATGCTGTATATATGTTTCTACTTGTTTAAGATATTTTTGTATATTGATACAAATTTAAGGTTATTTTTGTTAGAACATACTTTACACACATTTCTACTCTTGTTCAAAATATTGTACCTTTATGACTCATTTAACAATGTAATATAAATTTCTAGTCCTTGAAAGTTATTATTACAAACTATTTAGAATAATGAAGAAATGAAGATTAGTCACCAATTACAATCAAACTTGTAGTCATGTTAGGTATGTTTTCAAGGTCAAGTAGAGATCTATTTTAGTTAGACAGATGTTCTTGAAACACTAATGGAATCTACAGAATACGGCATTTAAGATGTTTTAATAGCATAAGGTTCTTTTTATATGACAATGAGACATGTCTTCTGGCATCACCAATCTACTTCAGAGAAGATGATGGACATTGAGGAAACTTCATATGGGGTTTACTTTCTTTTTGGCAAAAGTTAGCCACTGAGCAAGAAACTGCCCTTGCTTTGACTACCGACAGTGTGCTGCCCAAGCAGGACAGGCAGGACACAAAAGAAAGTGACTGCCAACTTTTGCCATGACAAGGCAGAGAATCCTTCAAAAATCCTGCTTCACAAAAAAGTCTGTCAGATATTCTAGCTCTGTAGGCCTGTAACATGAGGGCCAGGCTCTTTGGGGTTTCTGTCCTGCCCAGTCCCCCAGCTGTTTAGTCCCAGAGAAAATCACACAGAGATCTCCATAAGTTATAAAACTGATTGGCCCATTAGCTCAGGCTTTGTATTAGCTCTTATAGTATATATTACCCCATTATCCTTAGCTATGTTAGCCACATGGCTTGGTACCTTTCTCAGCCGGGCAGATTACATCTTGCTTCTTGGTGGTCTGGACAGGAATGGGAGGAATGGGCTTCCTCCTTCCTAGCATTCTCCTGTTCTCATGGCCCCACCTCTACTTCCTGTCTGGTTAACTCACCTATACTTCCTGCCTGGCCAATCAGCATTTATTTAAAACATGATTGACAGAATACAGACAATTCTCCGGCACCAAGGCCAAAGATGGATGCCCCAACATTACAGAAGGACCTTGGGTGGCTGTTCAGATAGCCAGTTCTTTCTGTCTTTTCTTAGTTTTGAAAGTTGTTGGCTCTGCACTTTCTGTTTACTCAGGTAGTATTTTATCCTTCTTGGTTCTCTGATGGAGTTGGAAATTAGATAGTTCTAGTTCTAATTTTCCTTGTTACCAATTCAGAAAAGAAACTCACAAAAAAGGTGTAAAGTGTGTAGGGCTGAGAGACATAAAAAGATAGTTTGTTGGTAATACAAATTATGATAGAAAGAGAATTAGGTACAACGCTTTGGACTCTCCAAGATAGGATAGATAATAGAGTATTTTCTCTGAATTTGTTAAATGCAAATTAACTAGACAATGTTAATGTAATTCTTGCCTGTATATTTTTATATCTAATTATTATACTTATTGTATATAATTTTACTATGTTAGTTAAAACCTTTGCTTTTTGTTTAGACAAAAGGAGAAAATGGTGTGTGATATTTTGATTGTGTTCTGACAAATAAAGCTTGCTTAGAGTCAGGAGACAGAGCCAGCCACTCCATAAAGGCTTGGAGGACTGTAGACAGAGAAGAGGTAGGAAGTAGTAAGGTGGTCTCAGAGGATCTGAGCCCTTTTGAACAGAGGAACAGAAGAGGTAGGAAGTAGTAAGGTGATCTCAGAGGATCTGAGCCCTTTTGAACAGAGGAACAGAAGAGGTAGGAAGCAACTGGCGTCTGCTCCCTGTTCTCTGATCTTTCAGGTTCTTACCCCGATATTTGACTCTTGATTTTTTATTGATAAAGAATTGATTAATTAGATTAATGCTTCAGAGGACAACTTGCAGAAATCAGTTCTGTTCTTTCACATGTGGCAGGCACCTTTACCTTCTGAGCTTACTGATGGTCCAGAATCTGATAGTTTTTTTGGTTTTTTTTTTTTTTTTGGATTTTTTTCGAGACAGGGTTTCTCTGTAGCTTTTTTGGTGATAGTTTTTTTTTTAATTATTTATTTTTAACTTGTATGTAAATGAGTGAAGGTGCCCATGGAAGCCAAAGGCATTGGATTCCCTTGGAGCTGACGTTATAGGCAACTGTGAGTTGCCAAATGTGCTGGGGACTAAACTCAGATCTTCTGCAGGAACCGTATGTTTTCTGAACGGTTGAGCC